TAAGACTTGAATACCCAAAGCTTGTTCGTTGTCAATCTCTATAATGCTTTGTCCTTCTACTTGAATAGAATCAGATATTTGAAGCGCCTCTTCAGTTATTGGTTGAGCTTCAACCATATCTATTTCCATTATCTGTTGGCATTTGTTTTGATTGTCATGTTGAGTTTCTCTGTTGACATGTTCAGAGGCACTTGTTGATCCACAAACTCTTTCCGAAATATCAACAATGAAACGACATCCCTTGAAGAGTGAATGACTTTTTAGTAACTCAATACATGTGTGAAGATCTAAATCTTTGGATACAAGCATTCCCTTGCTTGTTCCAAGGTTGATATCAAACCATATCACTACTTCAAACTTGTCTCTATTCAATTCAATAACTTCAAAGATCTGTTTAATGAAATCTTGAAAATGAATTTCCTCAGGTACTAGAACAAGCTTTGTTTGATGATCAAGATACTTATAGTCTTCAGTCCATCTACCATTAAAAGTAACTATAGTGCATATTGTTTCCATCCTGCAAGTCAAGAGAATGGGAAACTCAGGACATATTTTATAGAGCAATCCTTGTATAATTAAGAATAGGTACTGTAAATTCAAGACCAAGTTAAGGACCAAGTGTCCTTAACTTTTGAACTTGGAATTCAAAGTTAAGGACCAACTGTCCTTAAGTTTTGAACTTGTAATTCAAAGTTAAGGACCAGGTGTCCTTAAGTTTTGAACTTGTAATTCAAAGTTAAGGACCATGTATCCTTAACTTTTGATATTGTAATTCAAAGTTAAGGACCAAGTGTCCTTAACTTTTGAACATGGAATTCAAAGTTAAGGACCAAGTGTCCTCAACTTTTGAACTTGGAAATCAAACTGCAGGACCAAGTGTGCTTAACTTTTGAACTTGAAACTTGAAGTTAAGGACTGCCTGTCCTTAACTTTTGAATATGTAAGTTAAAGTTCAGGACCAAGTGTCCTTAACTTTTCAACTTCAAACTTGAAGTTAATGACTGCTTGTCCTTAACTTTTGAACATGTAAGTCAAAGTTCAGGACCAAGTGTCCTTAACTTTTCAACTTGAAACTCAAACTTCAGGACCAAGTGTCCTTAACTTTTCAACTTGAAACTTGAACTTAATGATTGCCTGTCCTTAACTTTTGAACATGTAAGTCAAAGTTCAGGACCAAGTGTCCTTAACTTTTCAACTTCAAACTCAAACTTCAGGACCAAGTGTCCTTAACTTTTCAACTTGAAACTTGAACTTAAGGGTTGCCTGTCCTTAACTTTTGAACATGTAAGTCAAAGTTCAGGACCAAGTGTCCTTAACTTTTCAACTTCAAACTCAAACTTCAGGATCAAATGTCTAACTTTTTCAAAACAATTTGAAAAACTATGACAGTATGTGCTTAATATTTAGAAGAACAGCAAAAAAGTTAAGGACATTGTGTCCTTAACTTTTTCAATTCAATTTGCAAAATAAGGACACTATGTCCTTAATATTAGTAACAACGATCATGACACCAAAGCCTTAACATTATGTGCTCAATTTTTATAGAATTATCAAAGGACGCGATGTCCTTAACCTTATCAATCCAGAAATTCAAAAAAAAAAAAAACAAATTCCTAGCATCAAATTCGTAGTAACGAAATAAAAATCAATAGAAACACACAAAAGCATAACTTACTGTAAATTTATGTTGATTTTTGGACGAAAAAGTTCAATTCTACAGTTTCAAATCGGAAGAGAAGCTTCTGCAATTCTATAGCGATCACAGTCTCAAATCGGAAGAAAAGCTGTTGCTGAATTAGTTACTGCTGTTGCGTGATCTTAATAAAAGTGTAGGTATAAGTTATAGCAGAAGGGTATTTTCGTCCAGTCAGATAAAAGTTTATTAAACCAGTGGCTAAAGATTAAAAACATTTAAAACACTGACTTTAAAGTAAAAACAGGTGCTGTTAGTGACTATGTGTGCACATCGCCCTAATCAGAATTGGAACCAAACGACCCCACTTACCCAAGATCACGCAGCTTCACTTTTTACGTGTCATTTCCATATAGGTCCGTACAATCCCCAGTTACTTTTGAGTCATCGCGGGAATCTTTGCCCTTTTTCTAAAAGGCGCTTCAATTTCATTATAGACACTTTTCAAGTCCCCGCCTGCACCACTTTGTAGAAAATCCCCTCGTCCCGCTAAAATGTACCCCTAATGGCGACGTGTCCCGCCACTCCTTAATTACTACTCGTCTACTCCCCTAGGCGTTATCCTACACCCAGGCGCATGTTAGTCTAAATTTTGGCCCATATTAGTGGCAATTTTAATCTTCCATTAAACTCGAGGTTGGCTTTGGATTCAATGGTGTATCAAGCTAGAACAAGGAAACGGGTCCACGGTATCCAAATACGTCGTGGTCCCGACGGCAGTGCCTTTCAAAAATGGTATTTCCCCCCCTCTTTTCTTTGCTTCCCCCGCTTTAATTTACTCCGACTTCTAATCTATGTGGGGTTCCGTTCTTAATTGTGTATCTATTAATTCGAGTATATACATATCGCAGTGAAATATGTGGCATTTCAATGGCTGTCGCATTGGCTGACATGCACGAATGTGAACCAAGAAAGGGTTATAAGAAACTGAAATGCCAACCCCTGCGCACAATCGTTGTTAAAGAGCAGAGGAAGATTGACCAACCCAGATCAGCTTTTCGAGTTTTCATGTAAGTTTGCTCTTATTCCTGCGTTTAGTAACTCTCAATCGTATTTATGAGTTTAGCTATATGCCTGTCTAACGTATTCAGTGTGTGCCAAATCTTACATTAAGTAACCATATTACTTTGTGGGATTTTATATAAAGAAAATCAAGGTCTTAAGTTGGTCATGGACTCATTTTGTGGAGCTAGGAATTTCGCTAAATGTGTTCAAGATTTAAGCAGTAATATTTGACCTATATATACAATATACTTCACCGGTTAATGGTGTTCAGCTGCCCACTCTTTGCTCGTTGTAGCTCCGCCCTTCCATGGCCTCATTTGTTTGGTATTGCAGGGAGGAATTTGTGAAGACAAACATAGACGGGAATGCGTTAGAAGTGGATAAGAAAGGTTTTGAGACATGGAAAAATATGACACGTGAGGTAGTTTATTTACTTTTAGCCGTTTCTGTTTGAACTATTGTCTATATTCTATAATCACACATCGCTAGCTAATCATGGTTCATCATCATTTGTTCATTGAAGTGTTTACTTATGTGGTTGACAAACTCCTTTATTTATTTATTTATTTCAGGAGAGGTTCTTGTACTTCATGAAAGCCGATCAAATTAATCTTGCATACTTGAAGCTTTTGCGTAGAGAGGAGAATGTTATGCAATGGAGGGTAATCAGCATTTTACATTTCTTTGTAATCACATATTCCTTGGATGATCATTGATTGCCACTCTACATATTGCTCTCCTAAATGGACTCTGCCGGCTAGTAATGCTTGTTTAAACAAAAATATGGCCTTGTTTGTATAGTATGGCATCCATTCTTGAATTTTTCTATAGTACAGGGCTAAATGTCCTTTGAAGATTCCCAAATTTCAGCCTTGAGCAGCCTTGATTGAATTTCCTACGTTTTTTGAAAAATTCTTTCTCTTTTAGGAAGTGCACTTTTTGCTTCAGGGATGGCAAACATGATAAAATTACATATTTTCTTATCCAGCAACAAGATTTCTAGGAGAGGACATTGATATCTTATTGACAATTAGATAAACAATCAAATCACATCAATGTCAAAAATAGTTCATATTCCAAAATTGTGTTCATCCTCCCCATTATCTGCAATTTTATTATTCTCTCGAGCAAACATACTAGTATCTCTTACGAATACACATTTGCCTAAGATAATGATCTAATCGAACATTTCTGCCTCTAGCTTTCCAACTAGAAACTCGATTACTGATTATCATATCTGCTGAAGACATCTGGAGGCTTAATGTACTTCAACTGTGGAAGTTTTACATCTAGAGCTCATAATGCTCTATGTATTTACTTTTTCTCTCTACATTATTTCCTCGTAATTTTTTTAAAAGCTTGATACTTCTGCTTAATAAGTAATAATTGCCTTAAGGATAATGCTTTTGGTTCCTTCTATCTTTCTGATTTCTCATTAAGATACTTAACTTTTAAATATAAGTTTCCGGATACTGTAAATGACATTAACATCCTATATCTACCCTGAATCTATCTTGTTATTTTTATGGCTTTAATTTTTGGAAGGTTTCTTCCTGACATGCTAGATGAATAATAAGTTAGTTTGTCTGCGATAATGCATTTGGTCCCTCTTATATTTTGCATTCCTCAATTAGATGTGTAACTTTCAAGTACAACTTTTAGAACACTGTAAATGATGTTTGCATCTACAGGCAGACGACGAGGCGGATTCTGCTGAAGTTGGCAAGTACGATTGGGTACGTTCCTTTGCCTCTAGTTTCCTCTAGATTTTTGGTTTTAGCTGATTTCTTTTCCATATTGAATCACAATGGCGATGCACACATTGGTGACTTGCTGTATTCTTGTTAGCAGAATTATGAATATTATGATTATTATGATTCTGAATCTTCTGGGGATTTGATTCTGGCGTGAGACAAAGAAGAGCTTTGACACCACTGAGAGGGTAGCGATTCTATTTCTCGCTTATTTTTGTTTGTTTGTATTTGAATTTAGAGTATGTAATAATGGGCTCCTAATACCACAATGCAACTCTTCCTCTCTTTTTCTTCCATGAAACAGGAAGGTTTGTTTCCATGGACAGCTGGTATAAAAACTTGAGGATTGAACATCATTTTGAGGGCTCCATGCTTTGAATTGATGGAGCCTTTACGTCAACGGCTGGCATCTGTTTTTGTGCAGAAGTCTTGTCCATTCCTACCTTATTGGAGGCAAGTCAGGTTGGTTGGCTATTTGTTACTATAGGAGTTAGGATATTGAACATCCAGATACATTTTCTTAGACAATCACCAGTGATACATATCTTGAGATCAGCCAGGAGCCTTGTATAGGATGTTTTTTTGGTAAAGGTTCGCATTTGATTTGTATGCTTCCTCCTGGAATAGGGCCTATGTGTACAGTCTATTATGAAATGTGCATGTTCATTTGATTATTTATATTTGAGTGTGACAGTGGATGGTCATTCTCTGCCCAATAGGAAATATTGAAAACGCCTTAATACTACCAAATTGAAGTGGTGTTTTCGTCAGTTAAAGCGATGAAGCGCTGGGGGTGGGGGTAGGGGGTTACACTTCACGGATGAAACCAGAGAAGTGTGCTTTTGTTGTCGATTCTTTGAATCTCAACTTTGAACAATTAGACTAATATCAGCATTACTGTATATTAGATGCTGAAATTAGTTATTTTAGTTACAATTTTATTATTATAGTACTAAACTCATATATAACTAGATTTGGTATAGCACATCTTGCAACTTCCTTTCGTCATAATAAGAAAGATTTGCCTTTTTATTTTGAAGTTTAGTTTTAAATTAACATTTGAGAGTTGGCATTTGTGTAAAGATTGATTTCACAATTGGTATAAAGCATTTCAAGTTGCCAAAGGAAGTACAGATGGTACCAAAAGTTGCTAACATTTTTATTCCTGAACGTCTATTTACTATATCCCGAAAATCTTCACGTCAGTTTGCCTGAGTGATTCCAGTATTTAGATTGGGTCCATTGGAAGTAATAACCACTATCTATGTATTTGTTATGATATAAATTTTTTTTCATGTAAAGCATTTCATTTTTCTTGTGCTAAGGTATGTAAGTTATAGTAACACTCTGTTTGGATCATTGTTTCCTATCGTTTTATAATGTATTGTATTGTATTGTATCGTATTGTACCGTATCGTTTTATGAATACAATGTTTGGATAGATTGTATTGTTTGTTATTGTTAAATAATATTTTGTTATTTGGTTTGACTGTATCGTACTGTACTGTAACTGATAAGTTTACTAAAATACCCTCAATTGTTTAAATATTAAATTTATCAAAATTATGTATAAAAATAATTTTAAAAAACAAAACAGAAGAAGGCAAAATACAATAAGGAAGCAGAACAAAGGAGCGAGACAGAAAAAGGCAAAACAAAGGAGCACAACTAATTAGAATTGAGTTACAAGCAAATTAGGTGAAAAAAATAAAACAGGAGGCAACAAAACACCTTTAACATTGGTCTGGAAAAAAACAAAGTAGGTTATAAGTTGGAGATTTGGAGCTAAAATATAAAAAAGATAAAGGGTAAAATAGAATTATGGAGTAATAAGTTAGGGCATAATTGGAAAGAAAAATAGGAAACAATCCCACCACACCCAATCGGTTGTTTCAAAAAAAGGGACTTTTCATTGTTCCGGAACAATGAATTTAACAATACAATACAACCAATTTTAATGAAACAATCAAAACAAACATTGTTTTGGGATAATAATACAATACAATACAACGAGGAACAACCATCCAAACAAGCTGTAAGACTAGGAGGTGGTGAATGGGGCAATGAGTGGTGTTTTGGGAATAGTTTGAAACATTAAGGGTGTGTTTGGTATGAAGGAAAATATTTTCCGGAAAATATTTTTCAATTTTCCCATGTTTGGTTGGCTTAAATATTTTGGAAAATATTTTCCTTATCAACTCATTTTCCTCCAATTATTTTCCTCCAATTGGAGGAAAATGTTTTCCTTATCAGGTGAAGGAAAATATTTTCCAAAATTCCTTCTCAACCTTCCCCATCCTATTCCTCCCTCGCCAATCCACCCCACACCCACCCACCCTCCCACCTCCTCTTTCCAAAAAGGTTTTTTTTTTAAATTTTAGTTTTTTTTTTCTGTCACCACTCACCCTGCTATTCCCGCCAAAACCCCACCCTTACTGCCCCCCCACCCCCACAAATTTTTGTTTTACTTTTTTTGTAATTTTTAAATTTCTGTTTTTTCGTTTTTCTGCACCCCCACTACCCCTGCCCCTCCCCTACCCTCCCCCTTCCCTCGCAAAAAAAATTTACTTTTTTTTTTTGTAATTT